CGCCTCTACTGAAGTAGGTTTCCACAAACTATATGATAACATGCGCCTCTACTGAAGTAGGTTTCCACAAACTTTAGAATGACCTGTACCTCAACTGAAGTGGGTTTCCATTAATTTCATAATAACATGTACCTCAACTGAAGTAGGTTTCCACAAACTTTAATATGACCTGTACCTCAACTGAAGTAGGTTTCCACAATCTTTATAATAACATGTACCCAAACTGAAGTAGGTTTCCACAAACTTTAGAATGACCTGTACCTCAACTGAAGTAGGTTTCCATTAATTTCATAATAACATGTACCTCAACTGAAGTAGGTTTCCACAAACTTTAATTTGACCTGTACCCAAACTGAAGTAGGTTCCCCCAAACCTTAGAATGACCTGTATCCCAACTGAAGTGGGTTTCCATTAATTTCATAATAACATGTACCTCAACTGAAGTAGGTTTCCACAAACTTTAATATGACATGTACCCAAACTGAAATAGGTTTCCACAAACTTTAGAATGATCTGTTCCTCAACTGAAGTAGGTTTCCACAAACTTTAGCATGACATGTGCCTCCGCTAAAGTAGGTTTCCACAGACTTTAGAATGACCTGTGCCTCCGCTAAACTAGGTTTCCACAATCTTTATAATAACATGTACCCCAACTGAAGAAGGTTTCCACAATCTATATAATAACATGTACCCCAACTGAAGTAGGTTTCCACAAACTTTAGAATGATCTGTGCCTCCTCTAAAGTAGGTTTCCACAATCTTTATAATAACATGTACCCCAACTGAAGAAGGTTTCCACAAACTTTAAAATGACATGTGCCTCCGCTAAAGTAGGTTTCCACAATCTTTATAATAACATGTACCTCAACTGAAGTAGGTTTCCACAAACTTTAAAATGACCTGTGCCTCCGCTAAAGTAGGTTTCCACAAACTTTAATATGACCTGTGCCTCCGCTAAAGTAGGTTTCCACAATCTTTATAATAACATGTACCCCAACTGAAGTAGGTTTCCACAAACTTTAGAATGACCTGTGCCCCCGCTAAAGTAGGTTTCCACAAACTTTAGAATGACCTGTGCCTCCGCTAAAGTAGCTTTTCACAAACTTTAGAATGACCCGTGCCTCCGCTAAACTAGGTTTCCACAAACTTTAGAATGACCTGTGCCTCCTCTAAAGTAGGTTTCCACAATCTTTATAATAACATGTACCCCAACTGAAGAAGGTTTCCACAAACTTTAAAATGACCTGTTCCTCAACTGAAGTGGGTTTCCACAATCTTTACAATAACATGTACCCCAACTGAAATAGGTTTCCACAATCTTAAGAATGACCTGTGCCTCAGCTAAAGTAGGTTTCCACAATCTTTATAATAACATGTACCCCAACTGAAGTAGGTTTCCACAAACTTTAGAATGACCTGTGCCTCCGCTAAAATAGGTTTCCACAAACTTTAGAATGACCTGTGCCTCCGCTGAAGTAAGATTTACTGAAGTAACAATAACCTGGTATTCTCTGAAATGAACATTACATGGCGTGTTTCTTCTCTGGTGGGTTTGTACAAACCATGTACCTCTAACCCACAACATTAAACATTGTATCCTGACATTTGATCGTTTTTTGTCGATATCTGATGAAATAGTCCTCGTTATTTTTTTGCCATTGAAAGACCCCTGGGAAGCAGGCATCGTGTTCGCTCTCGGTCTCATTAATCAGAACAGACGTTTATGACACACAAGGATGGATATATGAATAGTATATTGAGGGCTTAAAGAGATGAACAGATAGATGACGGTTTTACTTGACAGTATGCATTTATATAAAGTGTCAGAAAATTTACATTTTGGGATTGAAATATTTGGAGCAGTTTGTACATTGACCAATTTTCCTGTCGATACGACCCGTGATGATCCGGGTTAGAATTAGTTTTCAGCAACCCATGCATGTCGTAGGAGGCGACTAACAGAATCAGGCTGCCAGGCACGCTGACTTGGTTAATGCATGTTATCGTATACCATTTGCGTGGATCGATGCTCATGATGTTAACCACTGGATTGTCTGGTCCAGATTCGATTATTTACAGACCGCCGTCAGATAGCTGAAATATTATAGAATAACTAACAAACAAACATCCTGTCGATACTTTGGAAGGTAGTTGGGATGATCATATTTTACTTGGATGATTCCTGTCCGAAGCTGTATCCAGGTGGTAACTAATCTCGTAAGTAACGTTATATATACAGGCATTGTCACAGTTTCAGGGACATGTAAACCTATGGGTTCGAATCCAGGTTCGCCCCGATTATGATTGTCTGCACCATTCTCGCGCTGCGGGTTTCATCAAAGTTGTAAACGTCTGAAACCTGTATCACTTCAGGCTTTCCTCCCACATCAAACTGACAACAGCATCAAATAAATTATACTGACAAGCAGCAAATACACTGGGTAGTTTGGTTCTGGAGAGAATATAATGCATGTCTTTTGTTGCCTTATCCCTGTTAGCCACAGGTTTTATACCCAAAAATTTACAAAGGATAAGCTTTTTTCTCTTTTCATCATCTGAAGGGTCCAGGATGAAAGCTGAAATGAGAGCTGGCACCTCTATATACTGTGTGCATAGTTTGTTAAAGTTAGCGGAATAGCATGTTTGTCTTTGATGATGACTATTTGACATTTGTTACAATTATTCTGCAAAAATTAGGAACTTGATATTTCTTTGAAACACTTATTCTATGTGATTGTATTAAGGGGTCGTTTCACATACAGAATGTTCTGATAAAATATGCAGATAAGTAAGAATATTCTTATATATTCTTATATATTCCATCGTCCTTTCTCAATTGGTAGTTGATGACAAGAAGCTTTGAATTTTAACAGGTTCAAGAAATGTTGTAAATAGAAAACATTCAAAGTTACATGAGCTTTTGAATAATATATAGAATCTTACTTTCGATGACCTCTCTACATCTCAATGCCATTTCTGAAGAAATGGTCATGGAGACCGGTAGAAATGTCATATTTAAAGATGTTAAAGATGTGAAAGATGATATTTCTAAAGATGATAAGGTGTGCTCGTCCCAGATATCAGTGTTGCAAGTTAGGTAAAAATTGTTCATAAAAAAAACCCATCGATTCATTGGTAGTGTATTTTAGTAAAGAATTATGAACAATGAACGATATATTGTGGCCTTAACAGAGTATTCTTTCAAGAATCTAATTACCCTTGTGTAAACACTGACATATAAAGTTTGGGTATTTTCTCTTTAATGTCGCACTCAGTAATACTTCAGCTAAAATGACGGCGGTCTTTAAAATAATCTTGCAGGGACAGAAAATCAAGTGATTGACATCATGAGGATCGATCTCCGCAATGGGGATACGATGACATGCATCAACCATGTCAGCGAGTCTGACCACACGATCCCGTTAGTCGCCTAAGCAGTAAGCATGTGTTGCTGAAGACCCGGGTCTTCAAGGGGATTTATATAAAGATTTCCTTCCTTTTTAGCCGAGTACAAGGGCGTACTTGTAAGGTTAAGATTTGTTCTTAGAACTGCAGTATGGATCATAGACATATTTTCATATTCCCATACTTCTTTACCAAATTGTAAGATTGGTACTACTGATACATCAAATAATTTAAGTTGACAACTGATGGACAAAAGATTAAATCTGCTTATTGCTATCACATAGTGCATAGCTTTCATTCCTTTTTCACATTATGTCTGTCTAGTGTTCACAAGGTAGCATGTTTTACTTAAGGTAATTCGAAGGTATTTGTACGTTGTGTCATTTTCAAGGGCTACTCTGTTTAACATAAATACCGTCTCATAAACCTTTCTTGTATCGCCAAGGACTTTGTTGTACTGATATGTTTCTATAATTTCCATTCGTTGCAGCTATTTGAGAACGTATCAGTGGTATATACCCTTCTAGTATCAATTTGTTTCTGTAAATTAAGTGTTACTTACTCTTAAGACAGTATCGTCTGTAAAAAGCAGTAGCAATAATTTGATAGAAGTATTAATGCAATGGCTTTTATCATCCTCGTTGGATACAAGGCCGTTAGTATCGTGATTATTTAAATAGTTTTCAACATCGTTTTGAAAGAGAACGACCTAAATATCCTTATCAATTATGTATTCATGGCTTAAAGTTTTCGCAAAGTAAGACCCCGAAAGGGTGCACTCTGATATACAATTGCAATATGATCAATCTGTTCACTAAAGGTTAATGTATTCATGGTAACTGCATGCGTACTTTTTAAGTCAAACGCGTCATCTAATGTAATAGGATATAAATATTTTCACAGAAAGCATTATTTCTAATGAATAGTAGAGATAAACTGATATATATTTTTTTTCCTAATGGTAACATAAATATTAGAAATTAACTTAATTAATATCAGAATTCAAACAGAAAATATCGACACATGTATTTTTCTTCTTTGTATACTTAACAAGAAAGTAAGGCATCATGAATATTTTGTTAGATATGTTTATGAAATTGTGTGCTCAGTCTTCAATACAATCAATATCACATAAATTGCACGATCCCCATCTTAGTTTTTTAGTATATAATATGCAAGTATGTAGCCCTTCTGCTGTAGGAATAAGTTTTACATTGTTTTTCATGTTTATTTTGTCGAAATAGTAATTCAATATTAATTTTTTCATGAGATATGAAGACAACATTATGTACAAACAAAAATTCTTAATCACCTCGTGTTTAAAAAAAACAACTGATATCGGTTAACGGGAAACTGAAATACAGATCAGTTAAAGATACATACCTTAAGTTTGAAAATTAATGAAACGTTGCAAAAGATTCACTAGCATTGAATTTCATATCACATTTGACTTTCGTAACGAAAATACAAAGAATTTATCAAATGGAAACAAACAAATTGGCGTTACCCGGCTTCTAAAAGAAAAGTACACAAGCAAGAAACGACGACCATCACCACACAGTAATCAATATCACAACAAACAGGTGCGAGCTTACCAAGCGTTTGCCTTTTCCCAAAGTAATGTTCTTTTATATCATTGGTTGTCTGCGGAAGCGAGGCAAACTGGCAGATGGGGAACAATAGAGTCAGATGCACAGTGAACACCGCCAACAAACCGTGCCTGATCATTTGGAAAGTATATTCTTCTGTGAATGAGCCTCTCGCCCAAGCGGCACCGGCGTACTTGTCAAACGTTTCAACTTGTTGTGCAGTGGTATCAACAGCTTACTACTATAAAGATCTACATTGCATAGCCATATATAGATTTCCCTCAAGGTAGAACGCGATCAGCATGTCTCAAATTTACTTGGTGTCATGCGGGGGTATTGGTGATCGACTGACGATCCTGCTCCCTGTAGGTTGTCATAGCCGCGTCTGCCCACGCATGCTTGTTGTCGGGGCTTAAGCCGAGCTCTTGTCAGTGGGAGAAACCAATCGGGTGGGAGATTCACGTTAGTGGTTGAGGAATTGATCGGTGGAAACGTGGTTGAATGGAATAGGGTGAATGTGCCCTTGTAATAAGTTTCTGATTAGCGACACTGTCAGTGTCGGATATGGCATCATGGTAACCTTAACAACCAGGTGCTAATTTCGTGCAGACACACTTGAAAATTAACGTTACCCAATTAATGTTTTAACAAAATCAGTAAACGCGCCATCGTGTCACAGGTCTTTTTGGGTCCGTCACTTGATTGCCCGATTGCAGGAGTACACGGTCTTAGTCAGGAGGAAGAAGAAGACGACGAAGAAACAAGATATTCAGGGTGTCGACACTCACACTAAGAATCATGTCAGGCAATAGATCCTACCAGAATCGCTTTTCCCTCAATCGCTTATATTTTACCAATTATAATGGGTTTCATTAACGTGGAGGCTCTTCATGGTAGCTTTTTTGTGCACATTTATTTGTCTGATGATCCTCGTGTAAAGCATGTCAAGACTAATGATGAAAACAAGGCATTCCACAGTTTTCTTAACAGAGCCAAGGGTGTGTGACATAATGTTAATGTTGATTTTGTTGATGGTTCTGTACTGCTTGACGGTACAGAAATGAGTGTCAACCAAACCAAGTGGCATATATCAAATTGGCCCAGACTCAATTTTGCAAGGCGACTGACTATGCTAGTCGTAAGAGGCGACTAACGGAATCGGGTGGTCAGACTCGCTGACTTGCTTGATGCATGTCATCGTATCCACAATGCGTGGATCCATGCTCATGATGTCAATCGCTGGATTGTCGATTATTTACAGACCGCCGTCATATAGCTGGAGTATTTCTGAGTGCGGCGTTAAACAACAAACAAACAAACAACAACAACTGACGACCAGTGACGACCACACCATTATACTTTATGTCTTCAAAGAAAAATGGGAAGTTTTCAGCTTTGTGCTGATAACCAATTTCAGTGTGATAAGTGAAAACATTCTCAAATACTACGGTGACTATACAGTTGTGTGCAAGAGTGTGTGACAGGCAGCTATGAACGCTACATTCAGGTCTAAGTAACACTTACACTTCATGCATAATCAGACCTCATCCGCGGTCTTGTGGTATAGCCTCCGCCCGGAGTTCGGAAGGTCCGGACTTCGATCCCGGCCGCGTCATTCCAAAAGACGTCAAAAGATGGTACTTGTTGTTACCCTGCCTGGCACTCGGTATTAAGGGGCTAAAAAGGCTAAGTCGGCTCGGAGTCGGTATACTGTGTCTGGGTGGGGTATTCATGTTAAACTGTGGTATGGTATCTCAGTGGGCTAATACTTGAAAACAAATCGCCATTAGTTCGGACTAGTACAAGCAGCCAGACACACACACGTGCATGCACGTCGCTATAGAAGTGGAATAATATTGGACGCGACGTTAAGCCCCATTTCACCTCATCACCTCATACATAGGCAAACATAATTGTCATTAGCGCCGTTACCTAACAACACACCTTAATGCGACCGCTGGTGTTAAGTCACAGGTGAAATTGGTAATTAAACACCGAAAGCGTGTGAAGCGTGTGAACAACAGGTGTATCTTCACACACATGACACACACCTGGAACTTCCAATGTTACATTAATTAATACTTCCAACAGCGAGAGAGATGGATTACGTATTCTATCGTTAATTTCATCAGGTTAATCATAGCAAATTATTGTCGTTACCGTCTGTGTGTTTCATAGCTGGTGCTGCGGTATCGGTAATTACAAATTATAGTGTTAAGTACACTACCGCCCGTCTCTCTCTCTCTCTCCCAACACACACACACACACACACACACACACACACACACACACACACACACACACACACACACACACACACACACACACACACACTTTTTTAGCATCTGTATACAGTGAAATCCCATTATTTCGAACCCCGTCAATCAAACACCCTTAAATCCCGGCGACTACTGTTTGTAGTGTCTGTCGACAGTGGGGACCCGGCCAGCCAAATTGTCTGAGGCGCGTCCCTTGGACACGCCAGAAACCTATGATTATGGGGTCGTATCCCGGTTCGCCCCTATTATGTTTCTAGGTTTGGCGGCACCATACCAGTGCTCGTGGGTTTCACCAAAGTGGTAAACGTCTGAGACCTACATCACTTCGGGCTGACACGCCGTGATAGAACTGTAAAAAGTGGCGTTAAACACAAATCACTCACCCACTAAAGCATTGTATACAGTGAAATACCATTATTCCGGACCCCGTCAATTAAACACCCTTTAATCCGGACGCCTGCTGTTTGTCGTGGCTGTATACAGTGAAATCCCGTTATTCCGAACCCAATGAATAATAGGTCAGGTCTTGCAATCCCAGGTTCGATTCTCCATTATATGATGTCCCACGCTGTGATATTATTGAAATATTGCTACAATTTTTCATTTTAATCTGGAAATTTCAATATAATGACTCCGCATGTGGATCATGTCAGTTACCTGTATTCCTCAGTACATTTAACGTCGTGTAATTCCCCATGATACTGCACCCCCTAACGTTTCCTTTTCGATGGTACTCAAAGTTAGGATATTTTGGTCAGAAATATTATTGACATTCTCGGTCACGATTTAATTTTGGCGAAATATATTCCCCATTGGTGTTTTTTTGTAAAGCTATGGAAGCGTATTAGTGCCACAGTCATCAATGTATTATCTACGTAGAACATACTTACATCTACGTAGATGATACTTTCATCCACATAGATGATACTTTCATCTACGTAGATAATACTTAAAAAGTTTCATTTACGTAGATTATACTTACATTGACGTCGATGATTCCATAATCTACGTAGATGATACTTTCATTTACGTCGATGATTCCATAATCTACGTAGATGATACTTTCATCTACGTAGATGACACTTTCATTTACGTAGATGATACTTACATTTACGTCGATGATTCCATAATCTACGTAGATGATACTTTCATTCACGTAGATGATACTTTCATTTACGTAGATGATTCAATAATCTACGTAGATGATGCTTTCATTTACGTAGATGATACTTTCATTTACGTAGATGATACTTACATTTACGTAGATAATTCAATAATCTACGTAGATGATGCTTTCATTTACGTAGATGATACTTACATTTACGTAGATAATTCAATAATCTACGTAGATGATGCTTTCATTTACGTAGATGATACTTTCATTTACGTCGATGATACTGCTGACATATTCGTAGAAGATACTTTTATCTAGGTATCAATATTGTCTCGAGTAATCAACCCTAGTTCCGGGTCAGTTGTATATAACCACTGGCTTAAGTAATAATGACCGATTTGTATGACTTCTACCTTGACATGACTATATTGTGGTATTATTTGAACACTGAATAAAGTAAATTTTCATTTCAGTGTGTCGAGGTTACTGGAGAATGACACACGCCACACCCTCTTACAACCGTATTAAAGAAGGGAGAGCACAACACGTTCTTCAAACTACAAACAAATAAACAGCTATAGGTCATTATTCAAAATTTTAGCAAGATCATATATAAACCATTTAACCATGGTTAAAGCCAGAGGAATATGTTGATCCTCATGAGTTCTCCATGACGGAAATTAGGTTTAAGACGTAAAACGCGAATATGAAGGGGGAGAATTATTCAAACTTTTAACCTATATCAAACCAATACTTATCATCATCCTATAAAACACTGTAGACAAAATTCTGCAGTTTGAGTTTTATTTTAGCGCTGATAGTTTAACAAGGTGAAATGATTTCCGTTTGTTGTAAATATACGGAAAAAGGCCAAATGAAAATATACAACCAAAATGCTCCCAAACATTTAATAAAATTAATAGTAATTACGTAACCACCTTTATTGAAAACATAAATATCACTATCTGTGTAGCGATACGTACGATTAAAATATCACATACGTAGATGAAAGTATCTTCTACATAGGTGAAAGTATCTTCTACGTAGGTGAAAGTATCTTCTACGTAGATGAAAGTATATACTACGTAGATGAAAGTATCTTCTACGTAGATGAAAGTATCTTCTACGTAGGTGAAAGTATCTTCTACGTAGATAAAAGTATATACTACGTAGATGAAAGTATCTTCTACGTAGATGAAAGTATCTTCTACGTAGGTGAAAGTATCTTCTACGTAGATGAAAGTATATACTACGTAGATAAAAGTATCTTCTACATAGATGAAAGTATCTTCTACGTAGGTGAAAGTATCTTCTACGTAGATGAAAGTATATACTACGTAGATGAAAGTATATACTACGTAGGTGAAAGTATCTTCTACGTAGATGAAAGTATCTTCTACGTAGATGTAGGTATCATATACGTAGATGATAAAAAAAACCTTTAGACTGCGGCTCTAATACGTTTCCATAAAAGGCTCATAAAAGAGGCGTTAACTGTATGAAAGAGCTATATTTGTTTTATTGTACACCAGCGGCAAAACATTCCCGTGGACCCTAAAAATCACATTAAAATATAGTTGTCATTGGTGCTTCAGAATCATGCATGATAACCACATGTACAAACAGGATTACCCATGATGACCCTGACATTGCACGTGCATCCCGATCATTATATATATATATATTCGTCACACATTCACACCGAAAGTGGGGCCGAGACATTTCAAACACAGAGTAAATCGTTGAAGTGTTTAACTGTAAAAAGCACAGCCGAACCTTATAACCGTTACGCCACGCCTATCTGAAAATGAGCGGTTGCAATTGTTGAAACCGGAATTGCTCAAAACGTTGTTGCTAGGTGTTTGGATGTTAATCGTCACTCTGTGGTCGGTACCGACAGACTGGCAACACCAGGAATTGCTCAAAACGTTGTTGCTAGGTGTTTGGATGTTAATCGTCACTCTGTGGTCGGTACCGACAGACT